AAGCAATGATGGAGTCCTTGCTATTTGAACATGACCTTCCTTTCCTTCTACCCTATTGTATCCATGGTGGGCAAAGGGGCTCTACACACCACCAGGCTAGCACCAACTCCTCATCTACTAGTACAAGCAAAAGTCTCTTCTTGAGTTAAATGCAACTGCACCATAACTATCTAAACTGACTGAGGAAACTCAACCCCCCAAACCCCTTTTAAGCCAGCTGTGGCAGAAAGTGTAAAGCTAGCTGCAATAATTTCCAAATGCAGCCATCCATCAAGGCTCATGGACAGAGGTCCTCTCTTTTATTAGACCAACAAGTTTTTGAAAAAAAGAAAAAAAAGAATTGCAAGCTTTTGGGCACAAGCACCCTTCACCAGGCATCAGAAAAAGATTGTAAGAGTTCTCCTGGGTAGAAATGAAAGTCTCTATTTCATAGGATTCCACACAGAGGTCAATAGATGGAAAAACCCTCTTGGCAGCAGTTCTTGAACTTTCATTTCTACCCAGGCAAACTTTTACAATCTTTTCTTTGATGTCTGATGAAGGGCGCTTGCTCCCAAAAGCTTGCAATTTTTTTTTTCCTTCAAAAAAACTTGTTGGTCTACTAAAAGAGATGACCTCTGTCCACGAGCCCCAATTGCTTTTTCCTCTAGACCAACACAGCTACAACCTGAATACCCTTCATCCATCAAGTAATTCAAAACCAAAATGAAAAATTAGGGGTGGGGGTGAGGAAGGAGAAGAAGGCAGGACAGAGAGCCAACATGTGTTCTTCTGTGTGCCTGGTTATCCCCAGAAACCACTGGTACCTGAGGGACATAAAGAGCAGTGCCACCACATGCCTTTGCAGCCATTCTAGAGCACTTCAATGCATACCTGCCCACCCTGTATTCCAGCTAATGAATTGGTAGTCAACCCAATCAAATCCCCCCACTCAAGCAAGCCTAAATATGACCCCCCAATATCTCCTTTCTATTGGCTCTTCCCTCAGCTTCTCCAAGGCTTGTGCACTCTCATAAAGGTCAGTGACTGTAGCCAGACATGGCTCTTTTCAGCCTCACAGGAGTGACCAAAGCATATGCTGCAGCAATGCAATCAGCCTCATTCCTAGAGAGCAAGTGACCACAGTCAACCCCCCATGCTAATCCTGCTGTTAGACCCATACTTAGATCCACAGAAGGTTGGAGCAGTTATCTCCTCTTTCTCACAAGAATGCATCTCTGCATAAGGCTTTCCTCAATAGCATCAGCCATAGAGTCAGCTTCACATACTGCTTCTGCATAGAGGCCTCTCCCCTAGCCTATAGGTTGGCAGCTTGACATTGGCAAATGTACGGTCAGAAACACAGCAAATAGGATAGTGATTAAATGACAGAAAAAAAAGAGAGACTTCAGATTAGTACAAACTTGCATTTTAATATGGCAAGAAAAAGCTCTTGACTGGCCTGGTTATGTTATACATTTCCTAGAAGGAGCTAGCTACTCATTCTCCCAGAATACAAGACCAGATGGGCTCATAGTGGAAGTGTAACAAGTTTAAACAGAACCTCAGTAAAATGGTCTCACTGTGAAACTTATTGCTGCAAGATACTACTTCAACCACTAGTAACCTGCACTTTGACAGCATTCCTGATTAAAAGATAATGAGTAGGTATTTTCAGGGCTTGAAAGCTACCTACTAGTCAGAGGACTGAAATTACTAGTACAGACAAGGAGGTGACCTCCAGCCAGGTCCAGGGAAAACATTCTTATGATATACCCCACCCCCTACTAATTTTAGTGGCTAGGAAGACCATGGGCACTTCTAGCAAGGTGGTGGGGCAGTACCAAAGGTTACAGAAGAACCCCCATAGGTTTAATAAAAAAAGACAAGTTTCTTGTGCAAAACAAACATACATAGGATCTATCAATCTCTAGCCACATTCCATTATACAACTGGGGGAAAACAAACAAACAAACAAACAAACATGAGACAACCTCCAGCAACCCAGAGCCTTCCACAAGTATAAATACAATCTAAGCAGGGAAGCTCTTCCCCTGCTCTTTTTTTTTTTTTTTTTAAATAGATTTCTCTTCCACCTGAAGCCAACTTTATTTTCAAGTTCACTGCCATTATAACCACATCATGTGAACTTCAGGACAAGTTTAATAAAATGCACTAAAGAGAAACAGAAGAAAATAAAATCAGGAATTAAAGAAAAATAAGGAAGATAAGGGGGTTCTACAGTTAAGAACCTGCAATGAACATGTTAGGGTAACTCTTCAGATTCTATTATCAAATTCATAAGCGATAGACAGCATTTCCTTTAGAGCATAGAGACTACAGCATTAACTGAAAGCTACCAGATGTATTCAAGCTCCTAATCCAAACCAGCTGTCCAGAACAGGAAAGGTTTTCTATGCTAGAGGCAGTACCTAGAACTAGAAACAGCACTTAAGCAACAGTCCAAAGCTGAAACAAGCCTCTAATCTCTACTAAACCCCTACATTGGGCTCAATGTGCCAAATTTTAGGCAAGACTTCTGAGTGAAGCATCAGGCCTGCAGATCAGCTTTCTAAAATGCTCCGCTCCTCCCATAGTCAGTTCTAACCAATCATTCACTTCCACCTGACCTAAAATGGAGGTCTCTCAGCTGGCCATAATTATTACTCTGTCCACATGGTATCTTGCAGGTTTGAAAAACAATACAAAACCCCCCACACACTATTATAAGGTAAGGCCTGTTAGAAAGGAACAGATACACCATACTTATAGTTGAGTTTTGTTTTCTTAACTCTTCTTGGGACAGAAATTAAGACAAAATAATACTCTTCATTTCACAGGCTGATTTTCCTAGATTGATATACTCTCAGAAATAAGCTATTCTCACAGATCACTCTTGAAGAAGCAAGGCTCTTTACTACCTTGCTGTGACCCTTCCTCAACCAACTCAAGGATCCATACTACTCCCAGGCCTGCCAGGGCCTTCCTATACAGGGAGATCACCACTACAGCATCCTTATCACCAACAAGAGGCCCATGTTTCCTGTCATGGAGCTTCCCTTAGACTCCATGAGGAAGCCTCTCATCAACCTCAAACTAGTAAATTTCTGACCAAATCTGCTCTTTCCTAGCAGCTAATCTGGGGCAAAAGCTTTTTGTTTTTCTGCTTCCAGGACATCAAGTTTCTGCTTTTCTACCCTGCTTTTTGAAGTCTCTAATGTAGGCTCTTTCCCTGCAAACAACTCCACTGCTCCTCTCTCCTTCTGCTTATCAGCTTTCCCAAGCAGCTGAAATGCAAAAGCAATGCAATGCTTTAGTTTCATTATTACTTTTTAAAAAGTTGCAACAAGCAGCAAGAACACTCACTTCCTGCAGGTTCTGGAATGCAATCCATCTGAACAGTTATCATTGTAAACCTCAGAACCTGAACTATTTTTCACCTGAAATTTTAGATTCTACAGTTTGTGGTTTATGCCACTACACTTGCAGTTAATGGGGGGGCTTTCAGTAGTAAGTGGATCTTTTTCCCTGAAGCCAAATATTCCCATTTGCAACTTCCCTATGGGAAAAGTTGTAACCAGGCATCAAGGAAGATTTTTGTACCATTATAATTAGGGGGTACATTTTATTGTCCAAAATGATTAATATATGGATTACTATTCTGGTGTAATCTCTCCCTTTCCATCTAGAAATGCTTTGAATTGGTATAGGTCTAAATGGAAAAGGAGAGATTAATATATGTAGTTTTGGGGGAGGTTGTACCATTTTCATTTGGTTAGTATAGTTAAATACAGTAACATGTAGAAAAGGCTTGAAGTACAAGGAGGTTACATTTAATTGTCCAAAATCTTATTGCATATTAATAGCAGCAGCAAAGATGAAATCCAAGTGCGCCGATTCTTCTAACCAGTATATCAGTGGTGCTCACCCTCCAAGAGCCCTTTGTGAGCCCAGCTGAGTGGTCAGCTTCCACAGTATCTGGTGGCACAGTGTTCCACATGTGAACAATGCCCTGAGGAAAAAGAGCTGCCAACTTCCCAGCTACCAGGTTCACATTGTGAGCTCTGGCCCATGCAAAACAGTCAATAGGGAATCCCCACAGAGCTCTTTGCAGCTTGGGATTTTGGAAACTCTCAGCATGTCCTGCCTCTGGCATCCTGTTTCTCCAGGGAACAGGCCTGGCTTCAGGAGCCTCTCTTCACAGGACCCCTCTGTGCTGCTCCTCCTGGTTGCTTTCTCTGGACCCCTGAGTGGCATGAGGGTTTTCAGAGCTAGATGGGCATGAATCTGCCTACTGGGAGACTGCTCCCAGCCCCCCTCAAGCCACTGGGTGGCAGGGATAAGTGCCTGTGCCAGGTTTGGGGACAGGGAGCAATGGTGCTCATCACCCGCACATGCGGGGCTGCATGAGCCCCTGTGCCCAGAAGGAGCTCGGGCTCACGCACGTGTCAGACCTCGGTGCAGTGGCGGGGCTTTGCAGCCCTGCGGTGTCAGCGAGGAGGCTGAACCAGCCTAGCCAGCAGCGCCTCCCGGCGGCTCGGGAAGGAGCCGGGGCTGCCGCGACCGAGGCAACCCCCAGAGCCGGGCGTGACTCAGGGGTCGGCTCGGGCCTCGCTCCCGCGGGAGAAGATGCTGCCACCCGTGGGGCTGACAGGGAGCTCTGCTAGTGGCTGCAGGCAGAGCAGTGCCGGAGGAAGCGGATGACCACCACCCCCACATCCCACTTGTTCTCTGTGGTAAAGGTGCGGCGAGGATGTAGGGCGGAGCCGCACCACGTGACCCACGGGCACCAATGGAGGAGGGGGGAAACCATAGAGAAGCCGGGCGCTAGCTAGAAATTCCGCGTTCCCGCCGCGTAACTTTGCTGCCGCCATCTTGTCGGAGGCGGCGGGGTCCTCCCAGCGCTGCGGCTGTGGACGGTTCCACGCTCCGGCCCCTCTTACCCGCCGCGCTCGTTTCTCACCCCCAGTCCCCCACCCCGGGCCGGGCCCCAGCGTGCGCGAGCGGAGCTTGGGCGTTACCTCGGATAGGACCACCGCGAAGCCTATGCGGGGTATGAGGCTAAGGGCCCAGCCGCCATCTTGGTGCAGAAGCCCGCCTGGCGCCACCTGCCCACATAAGGCTGAGCCCGCCCCCGCGCGTCTTGAGCCAGTCAAGGCTCCATGGAAAAGGTTGCTGAGTGCGCATGCGCGGCCTCGTGGCTCCGCCCCCACCCCCTCGGGCTGGCTGAGCGGGGCGCTGTCTCCCCCAGTCCTGCTCACGACTCGTAGCGCGCCAGAGTCGGCCGGGCAGTTGGTAGCTGCCCCGCCCCGCCCCGCCCCCTCCGGCGGTGCCGCAGGTGGGGGCTGTGAGCGGATGTGAGCGCGGCAGGGCCGCGCCTTGTCTGCAGTGAGCGGGAGCGGAGCCATCGCGGCTGCTCCGAGGCCACTGTCGGTGTGTAACGGCCGCGGCGGGGTGGGCGCTGGGGGGCAGGCGGGCAGGCGGGCGCTTCCTGTGGGCCGGCCGCGCTGGGGCCTTCTCTGCCGCGCGCAGGGTTTGGGCAGGCGGCGCCGAG